GGGCGAAGGACCCCATAGCTGCCAGACGATGGATTGCAGACATCGAGTCTGCACAGTTGACTAGCTTCTGCCCCGAGGGGTCGAAGGTGAGGTTTGCAGCAGGGTGTTTGAGAGACAGAGCTAGAGACTGGTGGGAGTCGGTTGGTGACTCATTGGGAGCCTCGACTGTTGAGGCTATGACATGGTCAGACTTCGTGACCAGGTTCCGAGCAGAGTTTGCGCCAGCGGTAGAGCTTCAGCAGCTGGCCAGGGAGTTTTTGGATATGAGGCAGACCACGGAGACTGTGGCGGAGATCACCGCCAAGTTCCGGGAGAGGGCGTTGTTGGTGCCCCAGTACGCGGGTGATGAGGATATGAGGAGGACCCGCTATCATGACATGCTACGAGCTGATATTCGGGAGCATGTCAGTTTTATACGTAAAGCTACGAACTTGATGTCCATGCATGGGGTTTTTTACTCAAAAGGCTATTAAATGGGGTTTATAAGATGCATGGGCTTCCCATGGCCATAAAGTTGGCACCTTTATGCCATGGGAACCCTCAATGGTTCCAGATCTGAAGCTAACACTCCACAAAATGATCCAAACCCAAAGGTGGCTTAGAAATGTCCCAAAAATGGCAAGATCCATGTATTAAAGAAGATCTATCAAATGATAAGTCAAGGTTCAAGCTTTTTACCTTGAATAAGCTGGAAATGGGACGAAATCTCTGGATGTACTTGCTTCTTCAAGAACCCCCAAGCTTCCTTCTCCTTCACCAACTTCAATTACACACAAAAAGGCACCACAAAGCTCAAGAACACTCAATAAATGGCTAGGGTTTCGAGTTAGGGTCTTCTGGAAATTAGAGGGATGATGGAGACCGGTTTGAGGCAGAATAAGACGTTTAAATAGGGTGAAAACCCTAAATATTAGGGTTTCATCCAGACAGCTTCTACTCGTCGAGTCGGTCCCCCGACTCGTCGAGTAGATCACTAAAGTTTTCGCGCAAGGTCGAGTCTACTCGACGAGTTGGGCCTCCAACTCGCCGAGTCCCAGAGCAAAACATGAAATTACTAGGATTTAAATATGTACCAGGAACCGGGTGCTACATGTGTCTTATCTTAAATTCCCCAGGAATTTTCGTCCCCACCATTCTATTGAGGGTTCTGGAATATTCCAATTAATCTCAAATAATTAATTAGTATTCTATCATTTTAATTAATTAAAACTATTTGATTAATTCCAATTAATTTATTAATTAATAATAAATTAACAACTTATTTGTCTCCAATTTCCTTATTGCTTATTGTGTCCTCAGATCAACCCAATAGGACCATGTTATTATTAGAAATATCACCAATAGTTAATGACCTTCGACATTACTTCCAACAATAACCTAAATCTAAAACTCGATTTTCAAAAAAAAAAAAGATCAAGAGAGATGATTTCAAAAAATCGATACACCATCAACACCACATAGATAACAAACCTTTAAAGGTTTTGCATCATGAATCTCATTTTTTCGGCAATTAGGTTTTTTGCATCTGGGATTTCAGGTTTATAGTAGCAGAGTGAAAGTTTCAACGTCTCTGATAGAAGTAAAGGAGGTCGGAAGTAGTGTCTCCATGATAGATTTTTTTATTTACTTCTTTTATATAGTTTATTTTAGCATTTTTAGCTTTTTTGTTGTTAATGCATTGCATATTCTATCCCTTTTTTTTATCTTGGGTCGTATCGGGTACTTTCTCTTTTGCATAAGGTGTTTTGTAAGTTTTTGGAGTCTCGTTGCGGTTTCATATTAGCTTGTTGTTGGGCTTGGTGGGCTTACGAGGAGTTTTTGGGCTCTGCAGATCCAATTTTGGAAGAATTGGACTTAATGCATTGAAGACTTGGATGAGTTGGACTTTTGAAGATGGATCATGGACTCTTAAAGATGGGATTGGACTATCTATTTTGAAGCTTGAAGATGATTAGTCCATTTTGAATCATAAGAGGTGTGAAGGGGACCAAAGGAATCTAAGGTAGTGGGGTGGAGTAGTGGAAGAAGGACCCAATAGCATTTCAACATTATTTGCGAGGGTGGTGTACCCACCCGCGCAACCATGCGCGAGTACCAGCTCAACTGCACATTTATGGGTATTTTTGTCATTTGGCTCATCATTTACCTTGGGGGGTTAGGTCTTGCAGCCAATACTTCGAATTTTCCACCATTGGAGCATCTTAGAGGTGATTTTAGAGAGCTAGAGCTATCATCCTCTTATTCTTCTAGTAATTGCTAATTTCTTTATGTTCAAACACTTTTATGATTATTGTCGTGTTGTCATGAGTGGCTAATTTCTTTATTTTGGTTAACTTGGACTAAAACCCTTTAATATTTGTGAGTTTTGAAGGATTCATGTTTGGTTATAATTTATCTCATGTTTATGATTCTTAGTTCATAATTCTTATGCATGTTTAATACTTTGATCATGAGGTTTGTACTTGATAAGCGATTGTTTGTCTCGTTCTTCGATTTAGCAATGAATCATTGAATTTTCTATTTATGATGGTAGAAATCATCCCTAGCTTATGGATCGTGACTCTTTTATGGATGTGTAAGCATTGACATCCTCTAGGAACTGGGAATTCCTTCATTCTTAAGGTTAATCAATTTTCTTGGGTTCATTTGCTTCAATTGAATCCTTGATTTTGATTAAGAAAGTGTGTTGTGGGCTTCCCCAACCTCCATACTACCTTTGAGGAATTTTGGCATATAATGCTTCATGATTGCTATAACCAATTTGGATTGAATGATAATCTTACATATTGAATCCTAATGACAGACAAACTGATATGCATTGTTGCCTTAGTTGACCAATTCTCTCCAATACTTGAGCATCTCACCATCTTGCTTAATTACAAGCATTTTAATTCTTCAAGTCTTTTAGTTTTCAAACAATTCTCAACCACCCCCCCCCCCTTCCATTTTAGTTTAATTGTAGTTAGTTAGCTTTATTTCACTTGTTTAGTTGGATTGTATTGGTGATTGAATACAACCATTTTCCCATGGATCGATCCCCTTTTTACTACTATATAATGTTTTATTTGCAAGCAAAAGGGTGTCACAAAGATTATAGTTTTACATTATTGTTTTTTGTATCTCATTTAATGCAAAATGAGATACGTGAAACAAAAGCTCTCTAAAAATAGGCATGTCACTGCGACACACTTATGAAGAACTTGGATTCTCTTACTTGCAAGTTTCACTTTAATCTTGTTGAATTCATGTTTGATGCAAGACTAAACTTTAATTTACTTCTTTAAAGCCATATGTACTTGTAGATACAGTTTCAGTTTGGCATGGGCACGTTCACCCCTTGAAGATGAATGATTACTAAAATGCAAATAATTTGTTGTTCAAGCACTAACAAACTTTTTTTTCCTAGGCAACCATGTGTTTTTTATATACTCAATCGTAACTTTCTTCGTCTGATAAAATACTCAAATTCACCCCGATTATGCTAAAAGATACTTGTTGTTGAATATGTTACATTATTCCAACTTAGACATAAATATATCAAACTCTTCTCCATGTGCAAAATGCTTCTTTCAATTTACAAACACATTCTTTTCGATATGTCAAATACACAAAAGATTTGTCATGTTCAGAAATACCATTTTTATGACATTCATTAATGCTAACTCTCTATCAGATGTAATCACAGACGGTTCACAGTTTTTAAGTGTTTTTCTTAAACGCATTTAATGCCCAAATATAACTATCTTCATCCTCTTTCTCCATAAAAACAAACCCAACATAAAGAGATGTATTAAAGCATGAAACCCCGATGATATCAAGGAGGTACATGTATATTTGTTTGTTTTGTATGTGGAGTCCATTACAAAGATATTTGAGAAGACTTTAGCCAATTTAATTGACAAAGGATGTGCAATGAAGAAGCGAGTTATATGTCATGTTGTATTATGTAAAATATCATAAGCAAACCCCTCTTTTTCAAACTCTTCAAATAAGAAACTAACCATTGATCGATTTCCAAGTCTTCCTTAGGTTGTATATAGTTCGAGAGACTGCTGGTGAAGGTTTTGGTTTCTTTGATGCAAAAAAGAAAGAATATACCTTTGGGGTATGCTAGAATGTGTCATGTTTTTGACACTTTGTACTTCATCTAGTGCTAATCGCCATTGTTGATCTTTAGCGACGACTAATTAAAGAGCTTTAGTGGTGACACCATAAGTTGAAGGGAAGGAAAACTTTCATGGGCCTTGTTTAGGTGGGTATTAGTGGCAAAAACGTGTAGCCGCAATTGTCGGCACCACTATTGGTTTTGACCGAAACATGTCTTGGCCGTTTGATCACTCTATATCCATATCATGGATGGCTACGATTGACACCTAAAGAATCACATAGATCGCTGAAGAGACCAATAGCGTCGACGCCTTTAGCGGCAACATCAAGAGCGTGAGACTATATGGTCTTATTTATTGTAGTGTTATATATAACAATGAAAAATACATACCAAAAATATGAAAGTGAGTTTATATAATGCTTTGTAGCTCCAATAGGTATCAAGATAAGCATTGGTTATATTTATCAAATATTCCAGAAATAAAGTATAAACTTAAAATTAATTAAAATATTTATATAAGAATATGGAACAAAACATGAAGCATTTATAGCCGAATACATTCATAGTTACCAACACCATCTATATACATGTAAAGATTATGTGAGTGAAAATAGGTTTATTAGCTGGCATGGAGATTTCTTTCCTAAAATAGTCTATATATAATATATTTTTCTTTTTTCTTTTTACGTGTTCTATCCATTTTTGGCACAAGTTCAGCTTCAGCCCATTAAAAGACAATGCCCTGTACGTCCACCATTATCACCTCCTCTGCTTTAAGCTGCTTTTACCCTTCTTTTCCTGTATTTCATTCTCTCGAATTAAATCCCTTTTACATCAGGGAAGCCAACAAGAAGAACCAATTTGGGGAAGATCATCCATCACACAACCAACAATGGTCAACACTCGATCCTCTAAAGAAGTTTCAAAATCGTCTTGTCAGCTGCAAAGAAAGTTGGACCTTGTTAAAACCAAAGAACCAGAACCAATTGATCCCATAAAAATTTCAAGTAAAAGGAGAAGCACAGCTTCATTGTCTCTTGATGGTTTACTAACACCCAAGAACGAAGATACTGATCATACATTGATGATGCAAACGGACATTCACATACCTGAGAAGAGGACACTTGTAGATGATCCGTTGTGGAGAGGGAATGCTGTGGGGAAGGAGGTGAAAGAGCTACTGGAGGCTGTTGAGCACCACTACCCCAACACATTTCAACGGGTCCAAATTCGGGTGAAACCATTTTGGTCGGCCATTTTGGAAGGTTTTCATGCCACCATCAAAAGATTTATGGGAACATCTGTGGATGCACTAACGGTGGATCAGATAGCAAGCCTTCAGGAAGATCTTAATGAATTGGAGGGGTTTAAATTCGATCTCTCGTGGGCCCTCAAGAGACTAGACATTGTTGATAGGCTCAAGTTTGGAAATGAGCCTTTGCAGAAAGAGTTGATGGCCTTAGAAGATTCGTTAGATCCTTTGAAAGCAACTGTTGATATGAGATGGAAACAGTTGATGGAAGCTCGTGATATGTACAAGAGGGAAGTTTTAGAGTATGAAAATGCTATAGATGCTCGAAACAAGAAAACACAGGAGATGGAACAGATGTTTGGAGCTGATTTTGATCGCGTATTAAAGAGTCATCTTGGTTTTGGTTTGCTTCCAGGGTACTAACTCATATTATTCACTATGGTTGTAGTGATTCTTATGCTTGGTTGGTTTTCTGGTAACGTAGGCTAAACCCATATTTGATTCAATAACTTCATGAGTGTTCTTGATCACACCATAGAAGTTTGACTAGTTTGTTGTCCTGATTTGTAACTTTTTGACCATGTATCATTGTATATATTCTCTTTGGGTCAAATAATATTTTGCCCTAATGTTCATCTAATCGACCAATTATTATTATCGATTGTTTTGGTTAAATTTAATATTGTTAATGGTTAGAGCACATTGTTATTTGAAAAAGTTTTCCGTTATTGGAGTAAAAAAAAAAGTAAGAGAGCAAGCTGTGATTAATGAATGCTTGGTTGACATGCATCACTCGGTGATCCTGTTATACATATTGATCATAAATTAACAAGAAGAAACTGGTACACGGTGTTTGTCAAAATGGCAAGCCACATAATTATGGAATTCATCATAACACCACTTGAGATGTTTCAAAATTTTCACTTTCCCAAAGGAAAGTGTGAATGAATTCATGTACACCTTCATATATAAGAACTCTCTCCCTACCACGTGATGCCTACTTTCTCACCATCTGGACTCCAATCCACAGCAAAAGCCTGTGCACAAAGAAAATGATTACTTTTTGTTCAAGTTTGTGGGCTAACATCTTTTTTTCTCCCACAAATCCCATTTAGTTATGTTAACAATTATCTTCAAGCAAAATAAAAATAGTACACAAACTTATCTCCATGACCTGGAAGATCTTCCTTCAACTTGTGTGTCAGCAAATCCCAAGCCTTATTAACATATGGTTTTGTATTATGCAAAGACCCAAGAGTCTTATCATAAGGCTATAGAGAGTGGGAGGTGTTAAGGGAGGTGCTAAGGATGATGTTACACCACTCCCTACCTTGTGCTAAGGAGGAGGGTGCTAAGAAGGAGTTGCTATGGGTGTGGTGAGAGGAGAGAGAAAATATGAAGGGGTGTTGTGATTGGTTGGTTTGTATTTCTTTATATATTTTAATTTTTTTTCTTCAAAATTAAACCTATTAAATTGTCATACTTTCACTCCCTACCTTTTTTATGCTACACATGCTAAACTTATGTGGCATCAAAAAAACTAAAAAATCTTATGTGGCAATGTGCTAAAAGTGTTATCACTCCCTCCAGCCTAACAACAAATGCAAGAGCATGAGGAGTAAACGGACTAAATGACTACTTTTGTATATCTTTCAAAAATAATAATGGACGGTTGTTATAATAAATTTTATTTTTATTTATCTTTCTTTTTTTGTTGTTTGTATGATTCTTTTTGAATCGTCTATTTCTCTTTATTTGTTGGTGTCTGGTTCGTTCAAACGAATCACATATGATGGCAATGGTCAATTTCATTATTATTATAGGAAAGAGGCAGAATCAAACTTAGATGTAGTACTCCATAAAAGGCTACAAGTTGACAATTTATGTTCTTCAGGTTGTATACTTTCTTTTCACTAATCACATCATTTTATCGGTATTATTAAATATCTCATTTTCTGTTTACTCTTCTCGACGTTGGAAGCTATCACAAATGTTAATGACGCTTTAAAAATACGGTTAAAGTCAAAATTATTCCAACTCTAATAATAAAGAGGGTGAACATATTCTTACATTGTTGTATTATGTTGTCGGTTTGCCATCACTTAAAGTTCTCTTCCTTCTTGGTCTTAGATTTATTATCGGCATGTTATTGTTACGGTGCCATTATTTATTTAAGTGTATATGACCGTTCATACCAAAATATACAAGTCATTGATCAAATGGTTTAGATAGAATGTTGAATCTTACCTTTGTGCTTCACCAGTGAACGAAGAGTTCATCATGAAAATCTCAAATAATAGTAGCTAGACTATTATTTTTTCAAGTTTTGGACAAGTAATATGGAAGGAACATAACTAAAAGTTGGATTAGACTGTGTTTGTTTGTCAATTCTACTATTTCCTAACCAACTTCTGTTAGTATTATTTTCTACCCAACTTCTGAGAACTATAACAAAGCAATTGATAAAGTCAAGTGGGTTGATGATCTCATTAATAGTGTTTGATCCTTGGATTAACTATATAACATGTTTTCATTAATAGTGTTTGATCCTTGGATTTGTTGAGTGTGAAGCCATTGGGCTAGTCAAAAGAAGTGGCAGGAAACAAGGAAAGCCAGAAAGAGAAAGAAAAAGGGGACATCCATGTTTTGAGGTAGTGGATGAAGACCCGGATGTTTTTTTTGTTTAATATACTTTCTCAATTTCAATCTCTATAAATGAGATTGCTCTGTATTTGTAAGTAAGGATCCATCACAAACTTCACAGAAGAAATATATACACTCCTAGTTACCCTCGTGTGGACGTAGGTCAGAAATAGACCGAACCACCTTAAATCTTTGTGTTCTTGTTTTTCTATAATTCGTGAGCTGAGAGAGAGAGTTTCGTGTTCGTGTCTCGATCCTAACAAGTGGTATCAGAGCGTTGGTTTAGCTCCAGAAGGTGATTTTCAGTTTTTTGGTCGAAATTTGTTTTTGTCAAAAACGATTTTGGTGTATACCGTTGGAAATGTCTCGTTCCGAAGATTCCGAAAATATTTTTTTCTGAATTTTTCGACCACCGGAAGACGACACTGTAGCGCCGGAGCCTTGCCGGAGAAGAAGACACTGTACGCCGGAGCCTTGCCGGAGAAGACGACACTGTACGCCGGAGACCTGCCGGAGAAGACGACACTGTAGCGACACTGTAACGACTCTGTAGCATCACTGTAGCAGAATTTTAAAAACTCAGATTTGGTCCCTTAAGTTCCAGAAAATTGCAAGACAGGTCCCTGAAGTTTCAGAAAATTGCAAGACTGGTCCCTGTTCTTTCAGAAAATTGCAAAAATGGCAGAAGATGGTAAAATCAAAATTGACAAGTTTGATGGAACCGATTATGGATTTTGGAAGATGCAAATTGAAGATATGTTGTATCAGAAAAGTTTGCATTTGCCTATGTTGGGCGAACAACCGGATGACATGTATGATGAAGAATGGAAGTTGTTGGATCGACAAGCCTTGGGTGTAGTTAGGCTTTCATTGGCAAAGAGTGTTGCGTATAACATTGTTAATGAAACAACTACTTATGGAGTATTTAAGGCTTTGTCCAACATGTACGAGAAGCCGTCCGCTTCCAACAAAGTGTTCCTCATCAAACAATTGGTTAACACCAAAATGAAGGAAGGCATGTCAGTTACCGCTCACATAAACGAGTTTAACTCGATTATCTCTCGTTTAGCCTCAGTTACAATAAAGTTTGAAGATGAAGTACAAGCGCTCCTCCTTTTATCATCTTTGCCCGATAGTTGGTCAGGCACCGTCACAGCTGTTAGTAGTGCATCCGGCACTATTAAACTCACTTTCGAGAGTATTCGTGACTTGATTGTAAATGAAGATATCAGACGGAGAAGCAATGGTGAGACTTCTAGTTCTAGTTCTTTATTGCATACAGAAAGTAGAGGAAGAAGAAACGAAAGAGGACGTAGTCGAGGCAGATCAAAGTCTAGAAAAAGGGGCAGTCCAAGAACCGAAAAGATATTGAATGTTGGAATTGCAAAGAAAAAGGTCACTTTAGAAACCAATGTCCAAAACCACAAGCTGAAAAGAAAGAAGTACACAATGTATCCTCTGAAGAATCGGGAGATTTTCTCATATGTTGTGTTGAGAATTCAATGGATTCAGGTGCTTCTTTCCATGCCGTCTCATGCCCAGATATGGTCAAGAACCTACAAACAGGTGATCTTGGCAAAGTTCGTTTGGCCGATGATCAAGTGCTTGATATTACGGGTATTGGAGACGTAGATTTGAAGACCTCTTTAGGAACCACCTGGACATTGAAAGATGTCAGGGTTATCCCAAACTTAAGGAGAAAGTTGATTTCAGTTGGTAAGTTGGATGATGAAGGGTTTAATGTTCACTTTGGCGGTGGACAATGGAAAGTGATCAAAGGCAACTTGGTGATTGCCAAAGGAAAGAAGAAAGGCACTTTATACATGGTAGAAATACCTGGTGATGGTGTTCATGCCGTAACCACCAATCCGAGTCCATCTAATTTATGGCACCAACGACTTGGACACATGAGCGATAAGGGATTGAAGATGTTGGCTCAGAAAGGGAAGTTTCCAGACTTGAAGAAAGTTGAAACTGAATTTTGTGAATCTTGTGTTCTCGGGAAACAAAAGCGGGTTACTTTTGTAAAGACGGGGAAGACACCGAAAGCTCAGAAGTTGGAGCTTGTTCACTCGGATGTATTTGGACCAACATCAGTTTCATCTCTAGGAGGCAAAAACTACTATGTAACCTTTATCGATGATTCAACACGTAAGGTATGGGTCTATTTTCTTAAAAATAAATCTGATGTATTTGATACTTTTAAGATATGGAAATCTGCTGTTGAAAATGAAACTGATTTGAAGGTAAAATGCCTGAAGTCGGATAATGGTGGTGAATACATAAGCAAGGAGTTTGTTGACTATTGTGCGAAAGAAGGGATAAAGATGATCAAGACGGTCCCAGGAACTCCTCAGCAGAATGGTGTAGCTGAGAGAATGAATAGAACTCTGAATGAAAAGGCTAGAAGCATGAGGTTGAATGCCGGTCTACCCAAGACATTCTGGGCCGATGCAGTTAATACTGCAGCCTACTTGATCAACCGTTCACCGTTTGTTCCCTTGGATTTTAAATTACCAGAAGAAATGTGGCAAGGGAAGGAAGTAAGTCTCAAACACCTGAAAGTCTTTGGTTTTACTGCTTACAGTTTGTTAAAAGATGGTGACGGGGATAAACTTGATTCAAAGACCAAGAAGTGCACATTCATTGGTTATGGGTCAGATGAAATGGGTTACAGGCTTTGGGATAGTGAAAGCAGAAAGATAATCTGAAGCAAGAATGTCACCTTTAACGAAGCCGAGTTATACAAAGACAGAAACAACAAAAGTCCAGAAGATCAG